TTCTTAGTGTGGCTTTCAGATCTAGACTCAAGCATAACCAGCCCATGATAAAACTTAACTTTCTTTTCTTTCTTTTTTTTTTTTTTGTGTGTGTGTGTGTGAGCGTGTAAGGGAAGCACATAGTATTCCCAGATAATCACCTACTACCTATATCATATTTACCTCTAATTAATCCGGCTAAGATTTAAGTTCACCTTCAGAACCAGAACTTGCCAAAATGATGGTATTAAAATTAACATATTAAAAGAATCCTGAAACAAACTTTAAATGTTTCAAAAAATATCCTAGAAAATGGTAAGCGTGCCAGAAAGAAATTATCAAAGCTGACATGGGGGTTTATTCAAGATCCTTTTTTTTAAAAATATAGAAATTTTGACAAATTTTTGAATTATCCTGGCACATGGGACCATGCCTGTCTCTCTGTGTACTTCCGATCGATGTGTGTGCTGTCACTCAATCACCGCAGCCTTCTTTAAGGTGCCAGAGCTAACTGCCAGGCTTCCCTGCCCGCTGCTCACGCTCTCAACCATCTGTTGGGGATTTCCATGTCCCATCAACATGTCAATTTCAACTTCACTTTGACCTTTCATTTACCACCATCCTGTAAGTTATATTACCCTACTCCCCCCACTTCAAAGAAAGCTTATGTTGATATAGTTTGCAAGACACAATAATTATTTGAGGGGGAAGGAGGGAGTGTTAGGATAGTTTCACAAGTGTCCTACCACACACACTTAGAAGCAGGTATGAAGAAACACAAATAAATGCAGTCTTGTGGCATTATCCAGCAATGCACTGATAAAAATCAAATGCCAGCTCAATCTTCTGCCTTTACTTTCTATTTTTCACTATCAAGGTTAAATTATTTAAATCTAACTCAGCACTTCTACTGAGCTTCTCAGGGTCCTTCTTGACCACAAACCCAAAAGGCATTCCTGGTTCCTCTAGCTAAGGTGAATGTCTAACACTCCATATCACACTGTGTCTTCTCTCCAGATGAGTAGCTGCACAGACTGAATCCTGCTCTTTACTCTCCCGAGTGTGACTCCGTCTGCAGAGTGCAGACTGCGACACTTTACATAATTAATCATATAATGCTCAGGGGGTGGAAGTAGATTCTTCAGATATGTTTAAACATCTAACTTAGGGGCTGGAGAGATGGCTCAGAGGTTAAGAGCATTGCCTGCTCTTCCAAAGGTCCTGAGTTCAATTCCCAGCAACCACATGGTGGCTCACAACCATCTGTAATGGGGTCTGGTGCCCTCTTCTGGCCTGCAGGCATACACACAGACAGAATATTGTACACATAATATAAATAAATAAATATTTTTAAAAATCTAACTTAATAAAAAGTGAAATTCCCAGTAAATGTAAGTGGTAGTACTAGGGACAAGCACCTCTAGCGTATCTATCCACACGCCAACAGGAACCACTAAGGAAGGAAGAACGGGGGTAAACCTACCACTTCAGGAGCTGTCACCGCAGCCTTCCTCCAAGAGAAACTTTACAAACCTCCCCAAGGAATGTCGGCAGGTTCCTCCCCTGGCTTTCCACCCAAGCCCTAGCAGTGTTCCACAGTTCTCCAATTAGAGAGTCCTGGAAGGAAGCACCAATCAAGGACAGTCACAGAAAGACACAGACAGACACACACCGTCCCATTCTGAGAAAGTAAGAGTGACGAAGGGCTCTGCAATGAGTGAGAGGGAGCATCCCTGGCCTTGCAAGAAAGGAGGTGAGACGGGAAAACGAGGAGGGCAGGAGCAGGACCACGCCAAGGTGATACAGAAAGCAAAAAACCCAAGTGCCTGAGGTTGACATTTGGAAATTTTTCCTGAAATACCACAATAAGCAAAGGTATAAGGAGGGGTTTCTTGATTCTTTCAATTACTGTTTATTTCATACTTTGTCAGGAGCTGGAGCTAACTTCTAAAACTCTTGTCAAGTAGAAACGGAAATAATATCTGAAATGATAGCCCCAAAAAGGACCTGATGTAAATTAAAGTTCTTATCTATGGCTGTAACCTATAAAACTATGTATCTAGACTCGCAAATATTTTTTTGGATCCATTTTTACAACTTCACTATATACTGGTTCCTTCACTAATTAATGAGTTGAGGAAAATCTTTAACACATATCCATTTTTTACATGAGTCATAGTTTTACTTTTTTAAAAATTATATTTAACAAGCATGAATTTTCAATCACTAAATTTGACTAGATTTTTTTCTAAAATATACAATGTTTATAGAAAGCATTATGAGTTTGCAAAGAACTGTAAACTAATAAGATATAGTTAAACCCTACTATAGGAGAATGAGCTGTTCTGCAAACTCTTGTAATATTACTGAGGTGAAAGATCCCATTTATGACTGAAGGCTGGGAGGAGATTTCCTGTAAGAACAAGAACTAGAGTAGGGGAAAAAGCTGAGCGCTGAGTCAGTAAACGGGGCACGCAGAACACCCGTTCTCCTGTACTCTGTTTACACGATGGAACGGCCTAAGAAATTCTTAAATGTCAGAGCATCTGGGAGTGCAGCTCGGGCAGGCAGCGGAACACAATCAAAAGCTCAGTCTCACTCACAATCGCTTTACTTGGTATTTTGTCCTTTCTCCTGTCTTCCCCACAAACCACAGCAGAAAACAGCGAGCATGACTGTGGCTGATAAATCTGCCTGTGTGAAGAGGTTGAAACGAAACAACACACAAGAATAAGGATGCAGTCTGCATCTCGCTGTTGGATTCAAAATTTGAGAAAAGCCGAAAGGAAAAATTAGCTGAGAATGTGTTATGACCCTGGAACTCAAGGCCCTCAAGCAGCCAGATGTGCGCCTCAGACCTACTTTTCCAGCCCTTTCCCTCTGGCTCGCCTCTGCACTCCGGCCCTCTATGCACTCAAATGTGTTTTCAAGCATTGGCTACTTTGACTGCCCATCACAGTCCCTCCCCAATTGTTTTTTCATGGTAGCTTCTTCTCATCCTTGACATTTTAAATCAAATGCACTTCTCCATAAAGCTCCTAACTCAGCAAAAGTAGCTCTCTCCTTGCAATCGACTTTCTTCATGATGTCTGCCACAATTTTAGATGATCTACTAAGTGAGGTCCTTGCTTGTCCTATGCTGTTGTTTCCTAGGTAACAGAGCAATACATGGCGTATACTGGGCCCAATAAGTTTCTTTAACCGAAAAGCACTAAAATGGAGGCCTGGTTGACAGCCTAAGCTGGGAAGGAAATCACGTAGTTTTTAAGGAAACTTGACTCTACCAGTCAACAGCTTTGTAGTCTTGGGCACACTACAAGTTCTGAATTGGTGAAGCGTAACTAGATGGTAAGAAACTGGTCACAGCAAGCATGACGCTTTCTCGCTTTGTTTCTTTGTTGTGTGGTTTTTTGAGACTGGGTTTCTCTGTGTAACAGCCCTGGCTGTCCTGGAATTTACCTTGTAGACCAGGCTGGCCGCGAATTCACAGAGATCCGCCTGCTCTGCCTCTGCCTCCTGAGTGCTGGGATTAAAGGTGCATGCCACCACCGCCAGGCTACAAACTTTTATCTCAAAAAAATATTTACATTAGGATTCAGAATAGCAAAATTAGCTATGAAGTGGCAATGAAAGTAATTCTAGGGTTGGGGTCATCACATGAGGAACTGTATGGCAGGGTCACACCATTAGGGAGGTTGAGAACCAAGTCTCCTTGCTCTCACCTGTATTAGATTATTCGCAATGTCATGAAATACCAAAATTATACGGACTTTACCTGAACTTCCCTTGCCCATGCCTCATTACGACCTCCTGCCTCCAAATCAAGGTCGTCACCCTACAGCTAAGTATGACACAGCGTGTTCTACCACATATATCAGTGCTCACAGTGTTGCTTCAAAGCCTGTGTCTGCTGCTCACTTAGCCTCAAACTAATATGGACATGTGGTTGTCCAAAATTGCTTTATGCTCCAAATAATAGTACTGCCTGAATTTACCACTGCCTGCGCTCAGACACATGATACATGCAGATACACTTACAAACTGTGGGCCACTGCGTTACATGGAAAATAAGCAGGGTGCTGTGGTAGATTATGAGGTTTGCTTTAGACAGCCAGGAGTTCTATGAGAAACTGTCATTTGAATCCAACTCTGATGGCCAGGAAGAAGTCAGTGTGTAACGAGCTAGGGGGAGTGTATAGCACAAACTTAACCTCTCACTGCCTGTTTTCTAATCTGCGAAAACAGAGACAAAGAAACCAACCAGGCAAATACTATTTTGGGACAACTGAATACAGTTAGCTTGGTAATAAAGTGTCAAGCTATCTGTGTGCAGCACCCAGTTTTCCACCTAGTTGAGGGTCACACGTGGCCTTCCACAACAGAATCTCCAAAGGTTTGCAAGCCTCTAACTTACCGATGCCTTGAGTTTTTCCACCCATAAAATAAACAGACTAGCCCATTACCCTTCCCTCTCTACTGCCTCACCATTTCACAAATCTCCACACGTGCTGCGAGTGCGCTTCTGTAAGATTTCCTGAGGACCTGGATTCTATTGTAAACCAAAGTGGAACCATGCAAGTTAAAACGACATGGAAGATGTCTGAAGAGTCTTTCCAAGAAAAGGACCCCGGCCGGTCAGTGGGTCATGGAACCTTTGTTACACTGGACTACAAGGGTGAACTTTGGAGCAGGAGGCATAAAACTCCCGGAAACAAAATATCAAACTGCACCAGCATGAAATTTGACTTCTTTCTGGGACAACAGTGTCTGCACCCGTTACTGTTTAAAACGAACCTGTGCCCCAACCGAGGTCAAAAAAATAACAGACGCTGAAGAGCTAATGGAAGTGGTGGCAACCCAACGCCCCTCACTGAGCACCAAGAGTCCCAGCGAGCGGCAGATGGGTGGCTGTCACCGAGGGAGGAAATCCAGCAGCCGGGCTGAGTGAGGCGCTAACCGCGGAAGCTGAGCATCCTCAGAGCACCTGGCCCAGGCCCTCACAACCACGCCGACCCCAGTACCTGCGGGGTCCAGCGCCATCTCGGAGGGCGGAGAAGATGCCAGCCACTCGCGGGCTCAGGAGCCGGGAGGGGAGGAGCCTGAACTGAGCTGCGCGCGCAGCCGCCCGCCCACTTCCCGCAGGAGCCGAGCCGGAGTGTGCCCGCCTCCGTGAGGCCAGGCCACGCCCCCTTCCCCTGGCCCTACTTCCGTTAAACTTTGCGCCTGCGCCTGACTGCCCTCTGGGGACTCCTGCCCTAGAGGGGGCAGGTTTCTCCGGGAATAGCCCGGGAGGCGACGTGGTTACGCATGCGCCCCCAAGAGGCGGCCTCGATTGTGCACCGCTTACCTTTTTTAAAGAATTTGGTGGGATTTGAGGCTTGGGCCTCTTCCGTCAAATGCTCTTCTTGTCCCGGTCATTTAGTCGTAATGTAAGTCCGTCTCTGTCCGTGTCAGGGTTCAGCCTCAGTTTTGAGAGCCAAAGGGAAAGTAATTTAAAAGCCCCTGCCTGCCGGAGTCCCGCTCAGGAGAGCTCTGTCTTACGCACACTCCCGGCACCTAGAATCCAGTGTGGGTGATATTATGGGTCTTGATCGCCCTGGAAAGCTGTCATTTGTTGCTGACATAAGGGAAAAGAACAGTTCCCAAAGGCCTCCACGACAGAAGTAACTTTCTGGGTGGCCCTTGGGCCTGTTTCTGCTCGCTGACCAACCCTCTGTTCTGAGTCTTCCTCAGATCTCCACGTAATGAGCTCGCTGGAGTCTCCAAAGGGTAAGGCCGGGGACAGATGTTTGGAAAAGCTCGAGCAGCTGCCTCTTCCCTGCAAGGGATTTGGGGCTTTTAAAGTGATCCCTTCCCCACCTACCTGCGGTTCCCCTTCCCTGCTGCTGCGTCCTCCTGGTCGGTTGGCAGAAAAGATGCCACGGTTGAACAGGCCTGGAAAAGTGGGTCTCTGCTCAGCAGGGCTCCCGTTTAAGGGCCTGTTTGGACATACCGGCCCTCATTACAGCTGCAGGCTGAGGTGCCAAGGTGGAGAATTAAACGTTCACTCAGCCAGGCAGGAAATCGGTTCCTGTGCTTGTGTGTTTTATAAATGTGCTTAGAAACACACATGCAATCTATTACGGGTACTCTTTTTATTTTTCTGGGAGTGAAGGATTTAGAAAGACCAACATTTTGTTGTTGCTGCTGTTGTTGATTGGAACAGTCCGGCACGAAGCCCAAGTTGACCTCGCTAGATGTGTAGCAGAGAACCTGAATCTCTGAGAATAGACTGAGTTATTAAAAAAAAAAAAAAAAAAAGCCAAACAGCTCAGGCACCCATATTCAGGTAATCAAACCAAGTATGCGAAAGCTGTATGTACCCTCACTTGAATGCTGTACCACGCCTGTTGGCTTTATAACTTGAAAATAAGTTCCAATGATTTTCGGTACTTCAGTTTCTTTTTCAAGGTCATATTTAGGAATACACAAAACAGGACACCTCTGAGAGACATTAATGGACCACTTGCATACTTTTTTGTCATAACTGTGGCTTGAAACAGTATTATTACTGTTTTCTGCTTAACTAAGCTCTCAGAATAAACAATTAATGTTTCCTTTAGCCTTATCACAGACAATAATGTTTTGGAAAATCTTGATTTTTCTGTGTTTCCTAAAATTAACTACTAAACATTTTATACCATGAAAAGCATAGCAATACACCTCAATGGCTGGGACTTATATGTCTTCCCATTCTTATAGTCAACAGAATGAATGCTTTGGGGGAAACACAACACAAACCATTCTTAGGAGTTAAGTCCTAGAAAATGAGATGGCAATTCAAAACAGAAGAAAAGTTCTAAGTTAGCACATTACAATAGATAATCTCTTCGACAGTACAATAGGAGTATAGAGAGTAGGAAAAACACATCATCCTGGACACTGAAACTGCATCTGACACAGCCATGTTCGCTAACTGAAGTAATGGCTGGCACCGAGTATTTCCACAGTAGCCTCTCAGAAGGGCTGGAGTACCATGGTGTTTGAGAACACCACGGAAGATCAGTTAAAATTACATCTGGCTTAAAAGGCTGTGGCCTGGGTCACAAAGGAGGGATGTCATCTTTGTATCACCGTTGTACAAAAGCTGCAGCCAAAGAATCAGAGATTTGAACCATTCTTGTAGGACATCTGGCACACTGGAGAGCTTGGTGGCTGTGCAGGTTGGCTACTGTCAACTTGACACATACCTAGACATATCTGAGAAGAGAGAATAGTAATTTAAAAAATTACTTTCATAAGATTGCCCATAGGCAAATGTATAGGGCATTTACTTGATTAACGTGGGAAGCTTAGCCCCTGGGTGTAATCAGAGGTTTGTCTCCCTCCCACCAGTTCCCAAATAACCACTCAGAGGCTTAATATTACTTACAAATGTTTGACCTATGGCTCAGGCTTATTATTAGCTAGTGCTTACGCTTAAATTAACCCATTTTTATTAATCTATGTATTGCCACGTGGACACGGCATTACCTCATTTTCTACGTAAGTCTTGTTTCCTCAGCAGCTGGCTGGCAACTCCCAGACTCTGCTTTTCTCCTGTATCTCTGCTTGGATTTCTCACCTGACTCTATCCTGCCTTGCCATAGGCCAAGGCAGTTTTATTTATCAACCAATGAGAACAACACGTACTCATGGTATACAGGATCCCACAGCACCAGGGGGCAATGTCCTGAGTGGTGTCAAAAAGCAGGCTGAGCAGACCATGCAGAATAGAGCCAATAAGCAGTATTCCTTCAAGGCTTAACAGGTGTAGCTAGTAAGAAAGATCTTGGAACTGCACAGGGCTGCCTGGACTCAGCTCAACTCACTCTTCCTCAATCATTTTTTTGTGTATCAATATATATATATATATATATATATATATATATAAAATAAATCCCTACTCTTTGCTCAGGTGAATGAGTTGTTATTTGTGGATATACCCTTGTGTATTAATGATCTAGAAGAGTCCATGATTTAGCTTCCTAGTAACACCCCAGGCCACAGAAGTGCCCGTGTGACTAATTCTGTGAGTATTAATTACATTTGCCCATTCTGGATCTTTTCCCAACTTTAATCATTCAAGATAGCCTTTGGGGTTGGCTCCTTTTGCCCAGCGTCATGGCTGTGAGATTCATCTACAGCCTCTAACGTCCAGTGTGGCATTTGGTCAAACCGCTTGTCCTCAGTTTCCTCATCTGTGAAGTTAAGACACGTGCCTTTGTGAATCATCTGAGCCCAGTAGATGACCCATTAGAAATCCTGACAGTGGTGTTCAGAACTCATGATCCCATTCATAATTCAGAGCAGTTGTTACTGTGGAATTTATCTTTTATGTCTTCTATTTTTTTTTAATTTGGAAAGCTGTTTTTCTGAGCTACTTATACTGTGTGTGCTCTTTTAAACTTTGATTACTCGGCGTTAGCCTGCCATCAGGACTAAAACTAGGCTCTAATATGCTTAACCCAGTATTCCGTGAAAAATGCTCCGAGTGAACAGAGAAGGTTTAGCGGTGTGCCCTATCACTTTAAGTGAGGGGAGAAAAAAAGTGTGGCAAAATCTCCACTCGCTTCTACAGAAAGCTGCCTAGATTTTTGCTTTGTCTGTTTGTTTTGTTTTCTCTCGGGTCAAAGATTTCATTTCATTTTTAAGAAGTAAGAAAAGGAACCTGCCGTGGTGGCGGCACATGAGGTAGAGGCAGGGAGATTTTGAGTCCCAGGCCAGCCTGATCTAAAGAGCAAGGGCAACATAGTGAGACCCTATCTCAAAAGAAATAATGATGGCAGTGATGGTGATGGGTGGAGGTACGACTCAGTGAGCATGTCCGGTTCTTGCAGAGGACCCTGGTTCATTCCCAGCACCCAAGTCATGCAGCTCACAGCCGCCTGGAACTCAAGCACCAGGAAATTCGCCTCCCTTTTCTGGCCTCCCCTGAAAGTTGCTAACATGTGCATAGACATGATTTAAGACAGGAAAATAACTATCTTTAAAAGTAACAGTGTCGGGGCTAAGGGTGTAGATCAGTGGCAGAGGACTTGTATGGAAGCCACAAGGCTCAGGTTCAATCTCCAACACCTCAAAAAGCCAACAACAGAAATGATAGTGAGGATGCTACCATAACATGGTAACTTTATTTCTCTGGTCTTGTGCTAAGAAGCTTGGCAAGGAATCTTAATGCATCTTGTTTTCTTCTGAGTCTGAACTGTCAGTGCCGTGACATCCTTATGTCAGTGACCAACTGTACTAAAAACATCTCAGGGGTCTTCTGCTCATGTAGAGGAAATGAAGTCTGTGACCTATCCTGAATATTCCCTCACTGGTACTGTGAAAGAGGGCAAATGACTTGAATTCACTTGCTTCTCTCCCAAATCAGAGCTTCTCCCGTGCCAAGTACTGCACTGCACCCGGGAAAGTAGCAATAAAGAAGGTGTTGAAGCCCTTACCCTTGAGGAAATCCAATGGTCTCCAATACTTATAGAGACAAATATGCAAATAAACAGTTACAACACATGATAGAAGATGATGTGGGAGATTAAAACGGAAAGAAATGAGTTTAACTTTAGAGGGTTTTGTATAGATGATTGTATTTGAAGTAGATCTTAAGGAATGATTAGGCACTGAACAAGGAGAAGAGGTGGAGGCTTGGTTTACAAATGCTACTGTCTGAAGTAGCTGTCAGGTGATGGCCATGACCTGGGACTGGGGGTCCTGGCTACTACTGTGCCTACCGATGTGTCTCGTAAATGCAATAGCTTATGACTGTCTTTGACATGTGACTGTAGACATCCATCAAAGTTGTGAAAGATCCTACACATAGGGGCCAAGCCTTAGTGTTTTGTGTTTCTGATGGTCCATGTAGTTAAATTCATTCTTAAAGTTACTTTGTTTTAATTTTATATGAAAGCTTAAATTGATGTGCTGTCTGGTCACCATAAGATCATACAGAGCTCTTTTTGTTTGATTAGGGTCTGACTGGAAAGCCTAGCAGGCAGTTGTTTTGCTTAGTGTCTCATTCTTAAGCCCATATAACCCACGAGTCGACGGAGCTGACATCAGTGTCCACCTTTCTGTATGTGATAGCTAATCTTTGGGGAGAGGGAACCTCAGCTGAAGAATGTCCTCCATCATATTGGCCTGTGGGTGTGTCTTGGGAGTATTTTCTTGGTTGATAATTAATGCCGGAGAGCCCAGCCCACTGTGCGCAGTACCATCCCGAGGCAGGTAGGCCTGGGTAATATAAGACGGATGGTGTGAGTCTGGGAGCAAGCTAGTAGGCAGCATTCTTCTGTTGTTTCTGCTTCAAGCTCTTGCCTTGGTGAATTGTAACCTCAAGGTCACGCAAACCCTTTCTTTCTCCATTTGCTTTTGGCCATGGTGTTTATCACAGCGACAGAGCTCTACTGCCCGCGCTCGTGCCTGACACCCTTCCAGCCTTCCACATCTCCTTTTTAAGGGTCAGACTTTGTTCTCCGGCCTTCTGTTCATTTGTCTCCTGGCTTCTACATTCCATGAGGACAGGACAATAACTTTGATCTGATTTGGCTCACTGGTTCCTGAATTTCGAAATTCACTGTGCCCACTGGCACTGTGGCTTATTCGGCTGTAGATCCTGTGCTCTGGGCCCCTGGTTGAGACTTCTCAGGTCTTGCTTCCCAGCAAACACTTTTCTGTTGGCTTCGATTTATTATCCCACCATTCTTCAATTCGTCCTTTGACTTGACGAAGACAGAGAGCATGGCACCATGTTT